TGTTGTACCTAGTTGTTGGCCACACACATGCTATATAAAAAGTTGAAAAAGCAGTCGCGTCAAAATAGCTACATTAATGTGGTTACAGAACCCCACCTTATGTCAACACATTTTAAGCCAAATAACCACTTCACGTGACAGCCAAGAGGTGAGAGTGGATCACGAATGTGCCCTCTGGCGGATGTTTGCGTGCATTAGGCCTATTCTGGTAGACTATAGTTAGGGGCGGATGTTTAGTGGACACAAAATAGATAAAGAAAGCCAGGCAATACTGTCTGCCCAAATTTTACATACAGTGCCAATTATTTATCCAAATATACATGTAAAAAAATGTTACATAAACCGTGGAAAACCCCACAAAAGCAAGCTTTTTTATCCTTAGTCGCCATATCTAAAGGAAACGGAAGGGTTTTGTATTTAATCTAGCAGCGGAATTACGAAACGGTTCCCCGGTGGCTCGGGGGTAAGTCTGAGGGCTTAAAAGGCTACAAATCAGGTTTCGATACTTGTGATGAACATAACATAGATAGTCCATTGTATAGTATTATGCTTATTAACAAAAAACCTTAAAAGACACCATTGCTTTAAAGCTGTTACACGTTCGAAGCTCTCAATTTAGTGATGACAATATTTGAATCAGGGTAGTCTTCTATTTTTTTTATTTTTTCCTATCATATCTTTAAACGCTATTAACTACCTCATTCAAATCACCTGAATTTCACTCTTGAACCAAAAACTTTGTTTTCTGTAACACGTCTATATTATTACTATGTGTAACGTTTACTTATTTGTGGGAAATTAAAGAAAAAAAAATTGATTTTTATATTGAGTATAAAATCGTACAGTTATATTGGCACATTTGCTAGGAAAATAAAAATAAATAAAAATCACGCACCAATTTGATTATATGAAAAAAAAAACACCCAAAGGTGTGGAATTCTCGTTGATTAAAATCTCCCTTCGTGTAATGCAGTCAACGAGCGGATTGGTGTGTAGGAATTCATAAAAAAATGATTTAACGATCATTAGTCATTTACCATAGGTTCCTTAGGAGGGCGCCTTACATGTCGTTACTTACTTTATTATAGATTAACAATTTTGATGAAAGTAATAAAGATCTCATTCAAAATAAAATTGGGCATTTATAAATGTATGCATCCTATTCAAACTATTTTCGGTTGCAAAGAAAGCCGAGATTAACTTGCTCTGAATAATGGCATTAATTTGACTTAGGCAACGCCTAATAATTCAACCAATCAAGTTACCGTAAAGAATAATTACAAAGCAAAAAAAAATTATCAAAACTTCACCAATTTATAGCTTTTCGTGAAGGCTTAAAAGCTCTATTGTTGTATTTCCATTACTTTCAGAAGCGCATGCGCTTTTCAAGGTTCGGATTTTATGCTTCTGTCGTCATCTAGTTAAAAGCGTTTTATTTGAAAAGGTCCTACGTTCTTTTTGCACTCTTGTACATCATCTATATTCTTGAGAAACGTAAAGGATATTTAAAAGAATATTAGATAACATACAAGTCGATAGAAGAAGGGTTTTTTTAATTGCAATACAATTTAACAAACTGTTACGTCTGTGTAAGTTGAGTACATCCTAATTTTGTTGAAAAAAATAGGTTACAAAAACAATACAGGATATGAGAAAAGTAGCCATGCATCTGTTTTCGCTTTTTTAATAACTTTTTATTAATTGAATAGTCAATATAAGAGTTTATAATAATGACCGATAGAGTATATCTTGTAACATTGTAGAAATGTCTGAGCTAATTAGACTACATAATTATTCCATAAAAAACAAGCAAAGTTAGATGATTAATTGTAAATAAACTCACAGTGAAAAAGAAAATCACTACCAAAGAATGCTTTGGATTCTTTATTATTCGGTACCTACCATGTTGTTTCAATCGGCATATCAATAAAATCCCATTGATACCTATTTGGTTTACCTATTGCAACTGATGTCGCATCAGAATGCTCTGAACAGGGATAAATATTTTAAATTCACGTTTTATGCGCTTCAAATATTCATGTTTTACGTTCTAAAAACGCCTGGAAGCTAACATGCTTTCCTAGCAAATCTACTGTATATATTTGAAAGAGTTACCGTCTTCTAACAAAAAATTATATGTTTATAAAATTCATATTAAAGTAGTCAAAAATTATCTTGATATTAGCTATTTTGTTGACAGTTTCTTTGGTATTTAATTTTCACTTATCTCTTACATGACATTCTGTTTCTATTTATAAGCTCACACCTTTTTATACATAACAGGAATGTGAAATTGTATATGCTCTTAATTTAGACCTTGAAAGATGTAGCCATGTTAATTATCTTCTTGAGAACAACAACAATTAAGGAATATGTATTTTGGAATCATATTCCAATTGCACTTTTTTTTTCTTTTGTTAGAGAGTACCTACAGAACCATGCATATCACGTTCTCAAGTACAACTGTTACCCCCCCCCCCCAGTGGCACAATGGTATGTCTGCGGACTTACAAAGCTAGAATCCGGGTTTCGATACCCGTGGTGGGCAGAGCACAGATAGCCCATTGGGTAGCTTTGTGCTTAATTACAAACAAACAGAACAACTGGCATTTTGAATACGAGTAACTGGTCTGTAACCTTACGAAAGTAAACTCAAAAAGTTCGATTTAAATTTACGCTGTATTTTAGGTTTAACTATTATATTGTGTGAAGTTTTAAGAGGTAGGGAGAATTATCTTTCACTCTCTTTCTATCTATTTAGAGAGCAAGTTAGATCTGGAAATATGAAATTTCTACTATCTGTAAATGAAAGAACATTCCATAACTGTTTTCTTTATTTCACTTTGTCGTGACGGTTTCATCTCATATTGTATGATTTTGCAAAAACTATTAATTAATTCCAGACCATATTCCAATAAGACTATTTTCATCAATTTTATGGAATAATAGAACTTTTTACATCTGATTTCTTCGAGCAAAATGTATTTACAGCTTGAATATTCTGGTTGTAATATACTATTACACTTTCATTTTGTATGACCTATACATATATAATACTACCTGCAATCTCGTACCCAGATAAGATGCAATATATAGTCATTTCGGAGAAAGCTTTCTCCTCAAGCTGCATCAGTTGGTTATTTTCAGGCCCCGAACTCGGCCTAGAGGTTAACGCACCAGACTTTACAACTCGGGTTCCGTGATTCGCGTTCCATTACCGCAAAAAAAAAGCCCAAAAATTCGTATCTTGGGGCCGTGGGTGTTATAAAAGTAACGGTGAAATCCCACTACCCAGTTTAACAAGAGTAGGCCACGATTAGTTGTATGTGCTGTTGACTAACTAGTCTTCTCTACTCTATCACTGCTAAGCAAGAGACGGCTAGTACAGACAGCCAGCGTGCAGCTTTGCGTAGACTATTCGTCGCCTGCCCTGTAAAAGCGGGTTTTCTCGGGGTACTCACGTTTCCCCCCGCAGCAGATTTCGAGGCGTTGGATTTACAGATCCCCGCCAATATGTGACATTGCGAAAGGGCCGTCAAATGGTTTGTCGAAAGTTGTCGATTTCTGGAAGTCTGGACCTCTTGCTTTGACTCTGCTTCTTCAACTCCACCTTTACCCCAAACAATTAATTAATTTAAAAAAACTACAAACTCCATTTTAATAAAATTCCTTTTAAAGCTCACCTTAAATGATGGATCAATGTCACCAAATGTAATATCTCACGAGTGGGGCGAAGGGGGGAGTATATATATATATCCCTGAACATCCCAGTTGAGGAAAGTCTTTCTTTCCTTTAAACCCCCCTCCCCCCCCCCGTGGCACAGCGGTATGTCTGCGGACTTAAAACGCTAGAAACTGAGTTTCGATATCCGTAGTGGGCAGAGCACAGATAGCCCATTGTATAGCTTTGTGATTAATTCCAAACAAACAGACAAACAAACGTTTAAAACTAAATTCCTGCCGCGTGTAAAATAAAATAAACTAAATTGCGCGAAATTCAACAAAACACACAAGTACTCGTTGCTCTGGATGTCTTAAGCTAGCCATGTACATCACTCTTTAAAAGTAATATCCTATCATTCGCTTCACTGAAAAAAAAAATATATATATATAATTTTGAGCAAACCTTAATATAAATGTAGTATACGCATGAACGCATGTGTATTTTGAACAACGCTGCTTGATACAATACAAACTATGTATCTTAGCTTAGGGGCAAAATTTTGGAAGATTGTTTAACTCGACTTGTTTTTTTGTTGTTGTTTTTTTTTGGAATTTTGACATATTTTACATAATGCCACGACAGTTTGTCCTTCCCTCTTTCTACTAATCATTATGTCAATAGCAAACAATTAGATATACAGTGGGTGGAAAAATCTCAACTTCTTAACGATATTAGGAAGTAAACCCATGAAAACTTATTAATTCAAGTTTTATATATAAACTTTCTGGTAGACGGTAAGTGACTGAGACATTCTGTATTAGCTTCTGGCTTCAAGAAAGTAGTGCATAAAGAAGTTTTAATTAAACCGGACGGAACCAGGAAAAATCAAACAAGCAATCTAACGTTTATCAAGTAAATTAAGGGCGACGCTAACAGTGAGAATTAAATTACCCCTTTAACCAGCTTATTTCACGAGCGAAAATCATTACCGTGGACCTGTATATACTGATTAATACTAATGGTACATCATTATACGATAACTTGAAGAGTGCTAGGAGTTTTCTAGACGAGATTTGATTTGTATAAAGAGCCATGCGCTCCAAGTCATGAAGAACATTAAGATTGGGGAATATAATTACTTACTAAAACGTCTTGTAAAATAGAAGAAGCAAAAGCCTGTTTCGTGCATTTTCGATAGATTCACAAGAGAGCCCAAGGAAAAGTGTCTCACTTTTCCTAAGATGCTGTAATAACTTCTGAAAACTTAAAAATAATAATAATCAGTACCTCGTTTCTCCATCAGTGTTCTACTGAACCGTGAAAAAGGGTATCTTACCAATACTGTTAAAAAAAGATATAAAAAAGCTTTATCTAACCAGTGAAATTGTTGTAATGTTAAACCTACTTTATCGTACAGAGATTTAAAACTCACCACTGAAAACGTATACAGGCATCTTGGAGTAAAAACATTAACGATGACTTGTTTTGGCTGATAAGATTAATATCGGTCAAAAACTGCAGCCCTTGGTCATAGTATGAATTTTGTTCTGCAATATGAAAACATGCGTTTCACATTGCAGTCTTTATCAGCATCACACTGCGAAGAAATTCTGAGAGCAATTAAACGAGGTGGAATGTTCGATGGCCTCAAACGCCCCACTAGAATTATTACATTTCCACATAGACAATGTCACATCTTGATGCTTTGGAGAGAATGTTTATTGAAACACCTATACCGTATAGATTTCATATTGCTTCTAACACCACGACAGGGAGATGACTGAGCAATAACAGATAACAAAAGAGCAGTTGGTTTGGTGAATGCCAAATACAACAATTGAAACAACAGTTTTGTTTACCAAAGAAACTTTGCTAGATGAAATCTTTATTTTGCTCTGATAATTTTCAGTAAGTGAAGTTAAAATAGCCACGACGTTTATCTTCAGTTAAATCTCTTCACGTGATAACAAAGTGAAATATTTAAGATTGCTTTCATACTTACTAACAACTTAGTGCGGCTGTGTTCTGTTTACTTCGCTTTATATTTTTATTTTGATAGAGCCAGTAAATCAGTATGTTAAAATAAAGTCTGTCCACATTCTGAAGGAGGAATTACTGCGAAAAATTGAACACGGAGAAGGTAATTTATGAAGATACACTAGAGAAATTCATGATTGATGTTAGGTAGTAACACTTCTGAATGAAAAAGAATACCGAGTTGATGTAGACGAAAAATAACTAAAAAAGTTAAAGAAAAATGTAGAGGTTTGGGAGGGAATATTTCTGACAAAAAAGTGTTTGGTAGGAATGCCTCTGACTACAGAATTACTCCAGGTTGCATGATGTAAGGTAAGGATATCCTTGGTGTCAGGTAAAAAAAGAATCTAGGGCTGATGTCAGTTCGGAACACCTCTTACAAAACAAAAATATAGAATAGATGTCAGGTAGGAGTTTTGAGATTATAGAATAATATAGGGTTGAGATCAGGTAGGAATATTTCTGACTAAAGTAGAATATAGGGTTGATGTCAAATAGGAATATCTCTGAGTAAAGAAGAATATAGGGTTGATTTCAGGTGGTAATACTTCTTACGAAAGAAGAACATAGGATAGGTACCAGGTAGAAGTTTTGTGATTATAGAATCATATAGGCTTGAAATCAGGTAGGAATATTTCTGACTAAAGAATAATATAGGATAGGTGTCACGTAGGAATATCTCTGACTAAAGAATACTATAGTGTATCAGGTAAGAAACATACATGTTTCGTGTTAAATTCCAATAACTATTTCGACAAGGGGAAATACAAAGTTAGACTGAAGAATGGATATGTCTGAGAAAAGAGGAATAAACGAGTTAGATGAAGTAAAATTAACCTGTCAAACACAAATATTATATTAGATATGAATTGGTGGGGAATGCAGTTGATGGTATGAATAACTGTGACAGAAGTGGAATACATAGTTAATGGTATGAGTAACTATATATGACAGAAGAGAAATAGGCAGTTGATAGTATGAGTAACTATATATGACAGAAGAGAAATACGCAGTTGATGGTATGAGTAACTATGACAGAAGTGGAATCCACAGCTGATGAGATGAGTAATTATGATAGAAGTGGAATACACAGTAGATGGTATAAGTTACTGTAGAAGAAGTGGAATACAGAGGTGGCAGTATGAGTACTGCTTATTGTTTATTTGTAATTAAGCACAAAGCTACACAATGGGCTATCTGTGCTCGGCCCACCACGGGTATCAAAACCCGGATTCTAGCGCTGTAAGTCCGCAGACACTGGGGGGCAATTTGTGATTCTAATTGGTTTGTTTGTTTCTAAGTATGACAGAAGCGGAAGATACGATTGGTATTAAGTACCAATCTCAGTGTCTCTAGTGAAACGTAGTTTCCCTGTAGTAATTGTAATTATAATTGTAGGCATTTCTTAAAAAGCACACCGGCGATAACAATTAAAATTTTGTAAACGCATTTTATAGTATCGCCAGAAGATAAAACGAACTGAAAATTATAAATATATGAACCGATCAAGATTGATACAATTAAAATTAAAGAATTATTTTACCACTCAGAGATAAAAATAATGTACTGAAATATGTTTAGTCAGAGTTCTCATTGTTCGATTTGACTTGCTTCAGTCGCATTTCCACAAAACTGTACAGATGGTAAACATTTGTTTATTCAATTTATTTGAAAGTTTGGATAAAATATATATTTTTTAAATAGCTATTTCTTGGAACAAATGTTGTTGAAAGGTGATTTTGTGGTGGTGCATTTCAATATATATATATATATTTATTTATATATATTTTTTTACAATATCTGATTCTTTTGAATAATCAAAGTGTCTTCTTCTTAGTTCTGTTCATAACCTGGCTTGCAAAAGTGAGTATTTTCTTTGTCGAGATCAACAAAGATACTCATTGATCACACAACGAGTTAACGCGAAGCTTCCGTCAATCAAAGCCTGGTCCCTCGTGATTGAAACCCGCAGTAGCATGTGCAGAATCTAACCCACCCCCACCCCTCACTACCTCCCTCAAGCCTCTGAAAATTAAAGTAAAAGCTCTTGAAGCATGAGTGAATCATTCTTCACTTTGTGAAGTTAGCGGCGTTGATTCTTTTTCCCTTATACAATTTAGTAGTTCTAGAACTGAAAATTTTACGACCCCAAACGTCCCATGCAATATTACCGCAGCCTTCACTTGGCTTAGCGAATCCTAACACGATAGACAACGTACGACTCCAAGTTATCATTGCCGCATTAAAACAGTCGAGAGTGTCTAGTTTTCAATCTTTATTGAGAAAAAGCTGAAAAGCTTTTCAAGATCAGAAGGAGCACTTACAAGATAACAAGAATTACATTAGAAAATGTGTCTTTGCTCGTGTCGATTAAACAAAGAAATACAATCGAAAATAGATTGATTGAATGAATTTCTTGTTTTGTAAGTTTGATTTTTTGGAACAAAAAAAAAAACGTTTTCCTGTATTGGTTTAGCTCTGGCACCGAATTAGGAAAAAAAAGTACGGGTTTTTAACCTTTAGTTTAATAAGTATCAACAATCATAAAGGTCAGATAACATTTCGAAACACTCAAAGTTTGAATATACCAAATTATATTTCATATACACTTGGCATAGTTGGAGTTTTTTAAAGTTACAAACACATTCTGCATCATTTAGTTATTTTTCAAGTCGGAGCAGGTATCACGAAATATATTTATAAGCTATACGACTGTGATGGACAGCAAAAGGTTAAGTACAATGATCTATTAGCTCAACGTATTTATGTTGGTGGCGTATAGCAGTTCTGTGAGGTTGACAGTAAAGAAACATAAGTTGATATGTCGTAAAATCACAACAAGTGTTATTTTCATAAGTTGCTCTGTTGATATGTTTAGTTTCCTGTTAATCTTAAAATCGCAGCACAATAATAAGTATTATTTTTAATAGCAGTAATATTATTTTGTTATGTCACACATTTTTCACCGGAAGACGAAAACTGAAAACATTTTAAAACACTACAAAATAACTATCGATCAACTCTTGATAAACTCGACGTCATGTATTGTCATCGCTCATTTTACGTGTAGACGGTGTTTTTGTTCGCGTCCATCTGTGTCATGAATTGTTTACATAATTGTTTAGTCCTGATGAGCTCAAGGTTACTAATACACTCAAAAGGCTTTTTTTTTTTTGCTGGGTTTCTTACGTATGTTAAAATGGTTAGTATAAAGAGTACATAATGAGGTACCTGCACCCTGTTCACCGCGAATAATCGAACCCTGGATCTTTACGTTGAAAGTCCGTAGACTTATCGCTGATTCACTGGTGGCGTATCAAGAGTAATAACACTGTTTTTTTTACAATAAACTAACAAAGGTATCACCAGCATTTATTTCCTTAGCTTTAACTCTTGACTAAAGAAAAATTCCCAATAATTTATATTTTTCACATTTTACATTTATCAATAGCTATTCTATTTTGAAATGTATTCAATTTTCCCCCTCCAAAAATATTGGCGATTTCAAAAAGTAGGTACTAAAGCTATAGCAAATGTAAAATTGAAAGGGCCACCGAAGTCACAAAAATGAATAAAACCCTCATCTGGGCCAAGCTCCCTAAAAGTTTCATAGTGATTAATTATAATTCGTGAAGTTGGTACTAATTGAGAAAAATGACATGATTACCAAACGAGTGGAAATGAGTAAAATAAGGGTTTCTAGAATATCTCTGAGGCATGTCCAAGAAACCCTGAAAGTTTGTTCAGAAATCCAGAAGCTGGAAAATTTTTGTTATTGGCAGACAAACAGATACACAAGCCGCTTTATAAGGAAAAATCAAATATTAAATAACCATGAGCTAAGTGAGCCCGAGTTTCAAATTCGACTCTTGTCTGGTTGTTGATACAGCTTAAACGAATCAACCTACACCAGAAACTTTTTTTTTCAGTCAATCGTTTAAGATTGGCCACAACATTTTTATATATATTTAAACTGAACGTTAACTTTAAGTTGGATATTTTTTATACCGGCGTTATTTTTCCGTATCTGATATAATGATAGGACAACATTAAATAACATAACGATGCTGTGAGTTGGAAACTAAAGAGGAAAAAAAAATAAAAACAGGGAGATAAACAGGGTGAATCTTGTCCTCGGTTATAGGCTTTCTTACTTTGGAGAACCAGCAGCGCTAGTGAGCTTCTACGGAGGAAACGGTTCAACAGTTTTATAAGATTACACTCGGTATCAATATCAAGCTATAAAACACGGTTTAGTCACAGTTCGGTAACCAGACATAACATTATCTTTAGATCTTTATTATAGTAGTCCAGAAACGTGACTTTTATAAATTTGATGAGGAATCGTTACGGGGGTAAAAAACCAAAAAAAAAAGCTTCCTTTATTCAGCAATCTTGTACTTATCAAATATTTAGATCTCAGGGTAATATACTTTGGTTAATGCGTAATCCAAACAAGACAGTATCCATAATAAATGTTAATCAAAATTTAGTCAAGTATTTGATTTTCATAATATTTTCAAAGAAATTTTGAAAAACAAATAATTAAAATAAAAACGTCAATGTTCTTTTCGTTCTCTCCATATAAGTACAGCCACGTAAATACAAATACTCATAACATCCTTTTCTGCCTGAGTCTCAATACTAAAGACTATATTTTTCGTATTTATTTATAAATTATTGTTCTGAGTACTTTATCGCGCAGCCTTGTTTTTAGTTTTGGTTTTATTAATGTTGTGGTAATTTTCTACATTAATATGAAAAAACAACATCATTTCTCATACTCTCATAAAATTCTCACAACGTGAATATTCTTACAAAAATAAGATTGACTACCCATGGTTGTTACATATATATACATATTAACTGACCACTTCCGAAGAAATATCCTCGCATTGTAGCGACATGTAACAAACTGTGTAGTCAAATGAAATAAGCTGTGTAGCGACATGTAACAAACTGTGTAGTCAAATGAAATAAGCTGTGTAGTGACATGTAACAAACTGTGTAGTCAAATGAAATAAGCTGTGTAGCGACATGTAACAAACTGTGTAGTCAAATGAAATAAGTTGTGTAGCAAACTCTGTAACCATGTGAAATAAGCTGTGTAATGGCATGTAGCAAAATGTATAATATCATGTCATAAACTGTCTAGTGAAAACATGTATCAATCTGTGTAATGACATGTAGCAAACTGTGTAATAATATGTAATGAACTATGTTGTGACATGTAGCAATTCTTGTAATAATGTGTAATAAACTGCATAATGACATGTAGCAAGCTGTGTAATAGTATCTAATAAGTTGTATAAATACATGCAGCAAGATGTGTAATAATATGTAATAAACTATGTTGTGACATGTAGCAATACTTGTAATCATATGTAATAAGCTGTGCAGTGACCAAGAGTGTGGTCGAGCACTGGTTGAACGTGCTCTGGTTCATTTCTGTAATTTTCGTTCTTAATCACTGTTTGGTTAAAAAGAAAAACATTAATATTTATCTTGCAGTAAATAAATGGCGAGTAGATAAAACTCTGAGTAGAGAAACGATTATTCTGTGTGTTTCCCCTAAATGTCATGTAATAAGGTATACAGTGATACTACTAAGATGAACAATGATGTTTCATAAATTGTATAATGTAATGTAATAAGGTATACAGTGATACTACTAAGATGAACAATGATGTTTCATAAACTGTGTAATGTCATGTAATAAGGTATACAGTGAAACTACTAAGATGTACAATGATGTTTCATAAATTGTATAATGTCATGTAATAAGGTATACAGTGATACTACTAAGATGCACAATGATGTTTCATAAATTGTGTTTAATGTCATGTAATAAGGTATACAGTGATACTACTAAGACGTACAATGATGTTTCATAAATTGTGTAATATCATGTAATAAGGTATATAATGATGCTACTAAGACGTACACTGATGTTTCATAAATTGTGTAATGTCATGTAATAAGGTATACAGTGATAATAGTAAAATGTACACTGATGTTTCATAAATTGTGTAATGTCATGTA